TCGGAAAAAAAGTGATGTAATGATTTCAAGATTGTAGCAGCAGAAGAAAACTGAAATTCCACTTTTGCCACGGATCATCTTTCATTTCCTTACATCTTTGTATGAAAGTGCAATAATCAAAGGTGTTAAATCAAATTGCTGCATGAGCATTGCAATTGAGCTGGAAAATTCATTAAATATTTACATGTGTGAACAACTGTCATGCTATTGTTAAATATTTCATATTCGACTATTCGTACAACTGTTCAAATGGCGTTTCGTATAGCTATTTTTGTTTTTCATGTTTGGCAATGTCTCATTGCGACGACGGCGACGAGACGAGCCGCCGAGAGCGGGCCATCAAACGTGGTCGACACTTGAAATGTCGATTACTGAGTAATTGTCGCGGGGGCGCTGAAGAGCGGCAACAGAACGGCGTGAGGTCCGTGCTAGGCGTAAACTTTCCGCCTATACGATTATGGTTGATGGAGGTAAGGGGGGTAACTATAGGTAATTAGTTCGTAAATTCATGCAGAACAGGTGGTGGCCTTTTCCGTGTGAGCATCGTTGAACAAACAAGAGAATTCATTGATTCAGGGATGGGGGTATCTTCAAGGGATTTGTGTAGATTCTCTTATGACAAATGAAATCAATACACTGAAATTCCCACCTATTTAAATCGAACAGATGCTCCGTCCTTGTCTGTGTAACCAATCGAAACACATGTTTTGTATGGCTCATTGCCAACCATTCATATGCAATATCAATAATTGATGAATGTACATCTACACGTGCGCATGGAGGTAAATGCACTAGCTAAAAACACATTTTTGAACGTTGGTCCCAAGTGGATTGATCTCCACTTAAGGTTTACCTACCTTCTCGCCAGTGTTTTCGGTTACGGTCGTACGTGGCTCATTAGGGCAGAGATAAAGACTACGATCAAACAGCACCGCATAGCATTCTTCCCAATGTCGTCGTTTACCCGTTTTACCAAGCGCAAGCTCCTAAAGGCCTCGCTTTAGGGCTACATATAGCCTGGTACTATTCGTACCTGGTGCCGTAGCCACCCTTGTCGTGTGAGCTTATTAGCGCGAAGTATCGTATCTGGCAGTGGAGTACGAGACATTGGAAGTGATGTACGTGAACGTTTTGCACGCATTTTTACCGGCGAATGCTGCAAGATTACTGTAAGCGTCTGCAAGACTTCCATGTAGGACCTGTCGTACCTGATGACTAAATAGTGAAATGAACTTCTGCATGCGATGGCCATGCGCATGTGCATGTTGGGCATGCGCTCCACGTGATGATCTATCAATTGATGATAACGAACCGAGTGAGGATAACTCTCTACAAATTGAAATATAGAATGATCGATAAATCGATTTTGGACCACTGATCAATATATCGATCGTACCTGCTGTCATCGTGGCTAAATGACATCGGATGTTCCGTTTCTGGTAAGCTGGTGGAAGTGGCCAACACGTACGATTTCGGGCGAGCTCGTCTCATTTTATTTTGTGCTGAGACTAAAAAACCGGAGATTAAAAAATCAGAAAACCCAGAATTTTCTAGAAGTTCTTTTGCGCTGCAAATAAAAAGACTGGAGCACACAGAAACTTAGCAAATGTATGACTAAATCCCATAGAACAATGAAAAACACAAAGTTGGTGTGAATAATTCACCAAATTTAATCAGAAGAGATTTTAAAACAGTCTTGAAGACATGAATTTTAGAGGTCAAGCTAATTTTGTAGAAAGGAATCTAAATTTTTTTGAAATAATAAGAAATCCAAGCCTTGCCGTAAGCAAATCAATTGTTAAGACAACTTATCTTATAAAAAAGAAATACAAGTCTTAAAAGCAAAGGTGCAAACAAAATAGCAACTTTTTTGGTTGCAGAAATTGTGAGAATAAGTAGTCAATGGAGCCGATAATCGCTAAGCAATTAAACTTCTTAGGTTGTACTTAACAGCCTCTTCCTGTTTTTTTTATTACTTGCACGTGAAACTAAAAGATTTCAGAGAAAGCCTTATGTCTTATGTAAGAAGAGGAGAAACAACTTAGAGGCAAAGGAAATATATAGCTGATAAAAACGAAATTTATGGCGGTGTCGCTCTTGACCAGATAAGAGCCAGTGAAGAAAAGAAAACGTTTTGACTTCGTTGTGAGAAAATGTTTAGGTTAAAAAGTGAATAGGTTGTTTTTTTTTT